CCCCCCCCCCCCCCCTCCAATTTTTTAATCATCCGATCAATCCATGCCTTTTTTATTATGCAAATAATTGTCTATAGTGTTAAAAAGCAAGTCAAAAAAAGTTTGGTTTCAAGGACAATGAGTCAAGCACTTGCTTGGTTTAGTGAGTTATATGCATTAGACGTGAAATTCAAACGAACGAACGAACGAAGGAACGAACGAACAAACGAATGAATGAATGCAGCAAGTTTAAAAAAAAAACGAGCCAAAGATATCGATAGTTTTCATGCAAGATTTACTACGTGGCGCACTAATGAAGCCATGGCTTTTAAGGAAACATTATTTCATTTAATTATAAGAACATTGCTTATTTCTTCTCTATATTATTTCATTCCTAACGCATTAACGAGATATAAATGATCTGTTATTTTGCCTTCGTCCCCCGATATCCTGCGCATTATGTGATATTCCGTCCATTAATCTTAATCTTTTTATTTTTTATCTCATATATTGCTTCCCGAATTATATATACTCTTCTTTTTATGCTTGTAATCGAGTAATGTGAGGAGGATTTTGTATAGAATCATGTTAGGTTTATAAAGTGTTGATTCAATGGCCTCTTAAAATCTCATCAGGGACTTCTACGTTCGTTCCTTCCTAGCTGGAACCGGCAGACCACTCTATTTATAAAAGGCTCTTTAAAATCATTTACTTTTAGCAAGAAACTATTTTTGTATACAATATCAAAATACTGTAAGATTGACTCTATCGTACTTGAATTCGCTGTGAGATCCAGCCAGTGGTAAGGTACCTTTGTATTTAATTCTTTCTTTCTTTCTTCCTTTCTTTCTTTCTTTCTTCCTTTCTTTCTTTCTTTATTTTTTTCGTTCTTTCTTTCGTTCGTTCGTTCGTTCGTTCTTCCTTTCTTCTTCATTTCTTCATTTCTTTCTTCCTTTCTTCCTTTCTTCCTTTCTTCCTGTCTTCTGACGACAAATTACGTCAAATAAGTTCCAAACCACATGTTTACCTTGAAGGTAAACAAATCGCACGTGTCCAAACAGCCAAAACCCTGGGGGTTGTAATCGACCAACGCCTGTCCTGGGCTGACCATGTCGATCATATATGTAAAAAAGTTTCATCAGGCCTGGCTGGCCTTAG